TAGATCTGCCTGCCTCTGCCTTCTGAGTGCTGGGATTAAAGGTGTGTGCCACCACCGCCAGGCTTATATTGTACTTTTTAACCAAGAATGGCAGTTTCTACCTAGCCTGTACTTAGAGTCGCCAGATATCATGTGTATATGACTGGAGTGGTTGGTTTGAAAGAAAGGGAATGGAACTATTAAGAACTGTGGCCTTGTTTGAATAGGTGTGGTTTTCTTGTCGGAGGAAGTCTCAGTTCACTTCCTGTTGCTTGCAAGATATAGAATACTCAGCTACTTCTTGAGTACCATGTCTACCTGCACACCACCATGTTGCATCATAATAATAATGGACTAAACCTCTGAAAATGTAAACCGCCCCCAATTAAATGTTTCTCCTTGCTGTGGTTATAGTGTGCCTTCACAGCAATAGAAACTCTAACTAAGACAATGATGCCTAAATGTATGCTGCCCTATTGATTGAGTCATGTGCTCTAACTGGACATTTCTGAATATGTAAATGAATGGATTACATGACTCATAGCCATGTCCACAAGTCCCTTTGTTTCTGTAATGTTTGTTCTGTGAAATGCCCTCTCATCATGATATTGGTGACAAGGCTGGTGTCTACCATGGATACACTGTACTTAGTAGGTGACGTTATTTGGTTTTCTTTTAGATACTCCATTGATGGCCCCATCCCTTCCTAATTAACTAAAAAATATTTTACATATTACATATGCTATAAACTTGGAAGATAAATTGAAATCCTAAGTTGGATACTGTCTCCGTTTCTGATATGACTATTTTTTGTTTTAAGCTCTGCTTTCTTTTTCCGGGAACATTTTTGATCTTGATTCGATTTTCTGACAACCTCATGTTTCTAGAAAATCAAGTGGGTTATGAGACAAGAGGAAGGGCGATGAAGGGCAATGATCACTGTGATGAAAATCAACAGTCACTGGTCATTTTATGGGGAGGAAAATTCTAAATGAATACATGGCAAAAGATGAAATCTGAGGCAACTCTAAAACCTGGGGAGGAAGCCAACTTTTTTAGTAAACTGAGTAAAACATATTTGAGACAAGGAAAGTGGGAAAAAAAAAAAAAACTGTCGCTCCCTAGATGGGGGTGAGAGATGCACAGTCAATTGTGTTTGGTAATTTATTTTGCCTTAAATGGTTTTAAATTATTGACTTACTGTAGATGAGGGAGCTAGACTGTTTGATGAAGAAATGTTGATGCTTACTGCCTCTACACTCAGCTACCCTTCACTTGCATGGAATGTTGATAGCACACAAATTCTTACCAGTTGCATGGACAGGGTTCAGAGAAAGCAATTGATTTGAAGATACTTATCATGTAGATTAATGATAAGCTGTTTCCTTGGGCCACCAGCCCAGATGTTCACAGTTCATAAGTTCACAAGCAAACCCTGCTGGGACAAAAAATTAAAGCCACATGCAGACAGAAGCCAACGGCTCTTTTCTGTGTAGTTACAGAGTGTGGAGGAGTTTTCAGAATCTCAGATGATAAACTAGTGTGTTAAAGAAGTGAAACGAAGATGTCAGGACAGCAGTAGGTAAGCCCAGAGCAAGAGGCAGGACCTGCTGGCAGCAGAGTGCACAGACAGGGTGTCATTCACCCTTAGTGCCAGGATGTTGTGTGAGCATCCTCCAGTTACCCAGGCTGGTGTTGCTATAGATAATCCAAAATGATAGTTGACTTTTGGCTCTGCTTCCTTGGTCCATATCCAAATGTGTTTTTGTGGTCTCAGACTTCATAATATTTCAGGAAATATGAAGATGCATTTTTCAGAACTGACTTCAAACATGTTTCCTCTATTGTTCCTTTGCTCAGCTGACACATTCACTTCATCATTCTTGCCTAGACTATATGCAAGGAAGTTTAGGAGTCTATTGGCATATAGACTATTAAAACATCTATAACCTTTTAATGACTGAGTGAATGAATGAGAGCACAAAAAATATACTCAACACTAAGCCACTGGCATCAAACTAATCACACCGCATTATTTTATTTTTATTTATTTATTTATTGGTTTATTTATTGGGTTTTTTTTTTTTTTTTTTTTTTTTTTTTTTTTTTTGAGACAGGGTTTCTCTTTGGCTTTGGAGCCTGTCCTGGAACTAGCTCTTGTAGACCAGGCTGGTCTCAAACTCACAGAGATCCGCCTGCCTCTGCCTCCTGAGTGCTGGGATTAAAGGCATGCGCCGCCACCACCAGGCTACACACCGCTTTATTTAGGAGTGTTGGGGGTCAATGCGAGTCCCAGAGTTATCACTCAGACCTGAAGTTATCACTAAAGAGTTCAGACTGTAAAAATATCACATTGATTTTAAAGACTCCTCTGAATACATCTTGCAAATATTTAGGTCTGCTAGGTGGCTGTGGTCGTCCCATTTCCAGACGGCATAACACTTCTGTGCTCATTCCCAGACTGCTGCTCTGTCCCTCACAAAGGAAGGCTGTCTTCCTGAAGGTCTTTAGGAACTGAGAAAAACAGTTATCCTGCACTACAAATGTCCTCGCTGAGCCAAGGAGATTGTACAGTCCTGTTTCTGTAGCAGGTGGCTCTCCTAAGCCAATCCAAGCAACTGATACCGTGCTGCCAAAAGCTTTTTTGTTAAGATCCACTTTCAATAATCGCTAGGTTTGTTCTGTATATTTTTAATAGAGATAATAGCCATTAAGGTCGATTTGTGTTAAGCTTACAAAGTTGTCACAAAATTTATAACTTTCCTACCCAAACTTGGGCGGAGTAGAAATGAGAAGCCAATCTTTCCCCAAACGTTGCTATCAGACCTATAGGTAAAGAACACATGCCAATGAAAGTGAGATTATGTGTAGTCTCCACATGATGCAATAATGACTCCTCGAAGGGTGACAAATATGAAGACTGGTGAGGTCACAATCTTCCTAGAAAAGACAAGCTCTTTTCAAGTTCTGAGATGGCATACACTGAAAGGGATTCTTTGTTCCAGATTACACACTGAATCTTTTTTTTTTTTAAAACAGAATATCAGATCTTGTGTTTTTAATTAGCCCACATTTCTAGTATCATTTGAATTGACTATGAACTCAGAATGGGAAGATAAATGGGTTCAAGCAATAAAATCAGTTATGGGAAATTCACGTGAGTCTGTCTTCAGACATGCTCTGGGGGACAAGGAATGCAGTGTTTTGATCCTTAATGTAAATCCTTTTAAGTAAAAAAATACAGTTGTATTTATGTCCCTTCAAAGTGTTTGTATAATCCTGAGATGTTGCTTGAGCCTTCTGTCTCCTTTAAGGAGACATTAAGGACAATAACCAGATGTATCTTCTAATCTGCTGTGAGGATTAGCTGTGATAACATATGTGAAGCACTTAGCCTCATGCTCTGGCCCTGGAACAAAACACTCTGTACGTATCAGTTCAGAGCTTTCAGATTATTCATCGAATGGCACTGTCCAGGCAGAAACAGCTGGACTCCTGGGGACCCTAATCCAGGAACATAGAGCACAGCTTCAGTTTCATACACGTTTTTGGCCTCTGAGAACACCACACCTTCCTGGGCTGAGAAACAGAGCACTTCCCCAATGGACCCCCACTCCTCGGCTACTTGAAAGTTTAGCATCAGAGACTTCTTGGGACAATCACCTCCCCAAGAGTTTGCTTGAGTTATGACTGGGCTTGGGTGGCTGAAACACAGCACAGTCTGCTTAGTTTTGGGAAGGGAGAAAATTATTCTGAGGTCATGCATTCTAGACTGAATCGGGCATCCCCCAAAGTCATATTGAAGTGTTGGTTCCTTGAAGACAAGGCTCTTTCAAGTGACAATCAAAGTCACCTAAAATCATAATGGTGAGGCCTTAGTTTACAGGACAGATATCCTTCTGTCTGTCTGTCTGTCTATTCATCTATCTATATCTATCTGCTATGAGAAGCCAAGAAAAGAGCCCTCATTAGGAGCCAACATAGTTGGCAACTTGACATTGGACTAACATGTCTGGGAAGGCAGATTTTTGTGGCTTAAGCTACCCAGACTGTGGCATTCTGTTATAATGTGGATACGAATATCTTCAAAGACTGGAAGTGGGATCCTTGATGAGGTGAGGCTCTGAGAGGTGACTGGATCATAAGGGTACTAACCTGTCTTGATCCATTGATGAGTTCATAACTATATGGACTATTAGGAGGTTGGAGGGAGGGGCACTGAAGAATATTTTAGAATCCTGGTCCCTCCCTCTTTCTCTGGGGTTCTCTAATATTGTGAGTTCAAATAAAACCCCTTCTTTTAAGTTGTTTATTTCAATTATTTGTTGCAGCAACAGAAGCTACCCAACACAGTGCATGTGAGGCACCTGGTACACTCTGTAAGCTCTACTACCCAACATGGGTAGGCAGTGCCATCTGCTTGGTTGACCAGTTATTCACATATTGACTCAATAAATACGATCTTCTCTGTGATAGGCAAAGCACCAAGTGCTTGGCATATAAAGATAAGGAAATGTCTTGGCTCTTAAAGCCTGTATTTAGTGGGAGAATGGCTATGCAATGTGTCATCATTTGGATGGTAAGTGCTGTGACTACAAATGTGTTCCCCATGTCATGGGAGCAAAGGTGAACAAGGCACTTTTAGCCCTCCAGACAGTTATGTAGAGAGTAAAAGCACTCATCCAAGCTGGGACTTCATGAAAAGTTCAGAGTTGGGGTGGGTGGTGGATTCAGGCTTTGTTGTGTTGAGTTTGAAGTCCTCAGCTAGCATGCAAGTAGATCAGAGACCAAGGTCAAAGCCCAAAGATCAAGGTTAGAGACCCTCAGTGGAGGTCGCTAACACACAGGTGGTAGTTGATGATAGCATGGGTCATAGTGCCTGGGAATGTGTACATAGTTGAGAGACACTGTGAAATGCTAATCGTGGAGGGGCAGACAGAGGAAGAAAGAGGTAGACTTGGAGCTGGGCAAAATCAAACAAACTCTGAAAGACCAGGGGAGGATTATCAAGACAGCCAGGATCTTTTCAAAACATGAGTTTTATGTCTGTCAGTTTATTACTATTCCATGAAAGGACTGCCCCAGTTTCAAAAACAAAACCACACAGAGTGTTCCCCATGTTAACAGATTTCAAAAACAAATTAGAACACTTACTTAGCAACTAAAACTACCAAGCACAATGTTACTTTCAGACATTCAAAAGGCACTTGGCACTTGGGGAATTTTTTTTTTCTCAGTGCCTCAAGGCATCATGAACTCTAATTATCAGCTGCCCTGGTCAACTGTGGGAGTGCTGATGAATGGAGAGTTAATTGACCATTGGATAAAGCAATTTTAACTCAGAATGGAACATCTCACTAACAGGGACAGAGAAGGGGCATTCAGTTCCCAGATCACACTAGGCAGCCAGCAAACCCATTCAGAGACCTAAACTGTTTCATCCCATAGCCTCCTTCTCTCACTGCTGGTGAATATATACATGGCTGGCCAACTGTTGGGACATTCAGAGAGCTAACTGACTCCACACACAGCATCCTAATATTGTAGAAATGATAGTGATGCCCACACATTTCAAGGATTCCTAGTAGCCATCCAAAGGCTCAGATTCACTGAGATTCTAGGATTGGGAGCTGAATTGAATAATCATATATCCTTCCTGGGCTCTGATTAGAAGTCTGTACCCTGCTTGTGAACTAGTAGCAAGCTGTCAGTTCGGTCACAATCAAAGACAGTAAGTAAACTTGAGTAGAGGTGTCAGGAGATACTATCCCAGGACTCCCAGAATTCCATGACCTGTGATGGTCTAGCAAAGAACAAGAGCTGTTTGTTCCTCAGTGCTTAAAAGAAGTCAGCATGGGAATCTCCCCTCCTGTCCCTGCTGATTGGGACTGCTGGGTTCGGGAAGGCATTCACTGAAATGTACTACTCCTGCCAAGAATCAACTAGAAAAAAATGCTGGAGAAAGGAAAAGAGTGTGGGCACCGCTGCTTGCTGCCCCCTTGGGTTGTCTGTGTGGTAGGGGGTAGTTGTGATGTACTTCTCATCAGATTTTTCAGGTCTGGAGCTATTAATCATCATCATCATCGTCACTATCATCATTATCCTCATCATCAGAATTATCATCATCATCATCATCGTCATCATTGTCATTATCGCCATCATCATCTTCATCTTCATTATCATCATCTTCAGTGTTGATCTTTCCAGAAAGCACATCTTCAATCCAGTCTTCCAGCTCCTCGGCTGTGGGCAGGTCATCATCATCTGGGATCTCCATCCAGACACTGTCAGCCTGCAGGGATGGACAGAAGGAACCAGTGAGTGAGTGGGTGGAGGTTGAGACAGACCAGGGGTTTCCAAGTAGCTGTGTTGTTTGAACCTCTAAGTCTCTCATACCTATCAGGGATCTGTACAGAGAGACAAATGGAAATGCCAAATTGCAGAACAATCTTGTGCAGTATTCTGTCTCAATAACAGTAAAAGAAATATCTATTCTACAACCTAAGAGAATACATATATGCATACACAATTAATTAATAAATTTATCTTTGTTCAAATTTTCAAAATCAATAAATGTAGATATTGACAGAACACTTACATAGGGCAGCAAAAAGACATTGTTAATTGGCCCCTATTCACAAAAGCATCTGCCTGCATTGGACTGCAGTGGGCCCTCTGTTATGGCCCCTCCTCCCCACTGTTCACCTTGTTGAATCTGCCCTACTTCTGTCTTATTATATGTCAGATCCTGGATTGAGTCTATATTTCTTCCCACTCTAGCGGTTCACCTCAGTAGCCTTTCCCACCCTGTGTTCATTTATGTTTCAATTTCTGACATGGGACTTCCCTTCTATCATCAGGATCACCTGGCTACTAGTGGGTGGCTACTGGCATGAGCTTCTGGGCATCAACCTATCCATCTCTCTTGGGCAATGGTAGCTTTAGACATGAGATGTCTGTATAAGAAGGCCTTGTGCTTTAGCTTGGGAAGTGAGTACAAGCAAACTCCTAGAGTTTGGGAAAGACCCAAGAGTTCCTCTTGCTTGTGTAGACTCTCGAACAATCTCATAATTGGGGTTGCATAGCAGCCAACGGGTTGCTGAGACCACCTGGCCAGGCCTTGATGGGGATACTCACGTCTGTTACATTCACCACCCCGATCTGTGGCTTGAACAGGTCAATCTTGAAGGTCTTCTCCCAGTATGCAACAAGCTACAGCAACAAAAAGGCCAGTGGGTGAAGGGCTCTTCCTGTGGTTGTACTCACCTACCACAGTAACTGGATTGTGATTGGTTGAATGCCCTTAAAACAGTTGTAGACACCTAGGAAACTGAAGGCTGGCTCCATCCCTAAAGCACTTTAAGCATTAAATAAAAGATGCCACAACACTAGCTGTGACAACATAGAACATAAATGCTTCTACAGCTCTCAGGAAGGCTATCACAAAGTTGGCCAGAGTCAAACCCCAAAGTATAACTTGCAGATCATCTGTGAGTAATGAAAGAGCTGTTTCTCTCTGCTTCCCTTTAAACACTCCATTCTTAAAAAGCCCTTATCTTGTGCCACTCTGTCATATGAGATGGCTGGGAAAACATTGATATACTGTACTTGGCATAAAATGCAAGCACAAGCCAGGTTTCTTTCTTCAGCCCAATGTGGGCTCTATCTGACAGATCTCTAGCTGGGTCAGTGTAAAGGAGCGAATGGAGTCCATGAAGCTAAGGAAATGGAGATGTTCAGGGACAAAGATCTCCTTAGTAAATTGTGGGTCCTGACATGGACTTGAGTGTTTGTGAATCTACAAGTTAGAAATGCCTGGAAATTGCTTTGCAAGAACCAAGGTAGATGCAGAACTGGCCAAAAGGATGCCAGGTCATTTACATTTACAAGTTTGGATAATGAAACAGTACAGGCAAACTGGAAATACACCCAACAGTAAACAAATCAACAAAGCAATGTTTTATGCTTATATGGCATGGCTTTCTTATGCTTATCCAAAATTATACCACTGGCTCCAAATATCATGGAAGTCTCTGCCTGTGGTTCACCCAACCTCCATGTGTACAGAATTTGATGCCAGTTTTCTCTGTCTAATCAGTTTCATCAGTCATAACCTATGCAACTCATAGCCAGAGAATAACCAAACTTGTATAATTGCCAGCAGTTAGCCATACCAGAAATAGTCAACAGACCAAGCTTTCACTTCACTATGGATCTTGGTGGAGCTTCTACATCTGCTAGGTTTAACATTTAGGTATTGTTCTTTCTCAGTGGGTTAGGGGTTCTAAGATAACTTCAAACAAATCACTGTAATTCAGTGCTTATGTGATAGTCTTCAAGGCTCTTGAAGAGACTCTGGTTCAACCTCATGTAGTTTTGGGGATCCTGGATCTTGGTGCAGCATTGGACTTGGCCAATGAGAATGTTTGTTACAGTAGAGGATGTAGCTTCCTCCATCATTACTATCACTGGGTCTGTGCATGGAATGAATTCTGTGTACTTTGTTCAAAACCAAGAAGTATCAAAGCTTTCTTGCTATTCTTCATTGACAGAGACTAGCACAGGGGTGCTAAAGTTCTTGTGCCTTCCATGTGTGCTACATATGATGCTGAATAGTAGGAAGCCTGTCTACAACCTAGCCAGGCATGGTCTCTGCTCTCAAACAGGTCATTCCTTTGCTTCATGAAATTCTTAACTCTGCAACGTGTTCACTTCTGGCTTTGTCCTCTAATACTTTAGGTTGCCTCTAGAGGCTCAGGGAGGGATGGTGGTGACACAAAGGGGCCATATTGTCAATTAAAGAAGGAAGGCTCCCAGCTCCACTGGTGGGCCTCTCCAAGAGTGGTGTCTCAGAAGTGAGGACCCTGGTAAGTCTGGTCAGTGCAATGACTACACAAAGCCATACACACCCACCAAGATGCAGTGGCCTCTGGGTTTCTTCAAGCACCTTCCACTATTTCAGTTTGTCCCTCATGCTTGAAGACTGTGCTAAACACAAATGTGGATGGTGAAGGCCACCAGGGATGATGGGGCCTTAGCCTGGGCCACTCACCAGTGGAAAGTCATCTGGGTCAATCCACAAGATGCTCAAGTCAGGGTTGTCAGTGTTGTCCCGGGCAACCTGTTTCAGGATCTCCAGGAACTCATAGCCATCTGAATAGGGTTCAAGAAAGTTGAGTCATCCAGCACACACACAGCACTCCTCATGTGAAGTGCAAGAGCATGGTTTTTCCACAGAGCATTCGTGGCCATCTGGTGCATACCCTCAATTACAGAGTAAGGCTATAAAATGAGTCAGACAGTCGCAGACACAAAGGAGCTCACACAGAGAAAGCAATGGCAATTTTAAAGAAAGACATTGAAAGGTCATGGGAAAGTGGCCCCCTTTCTAAATGAAGGCTCACCTTCATTTGTTCACCAAGTAGCCTTGGTGACAAACTCAGTCCCAGAGCAAAGGAAGCTCTCTGCCTGTCCCCAGTGATCCCGTGTGTTCCAAGCATGTTCTATCCCTGGATTCCCTACAACGTATGCTGTATGGACCAAGAACAACCTGGAATTCCCAACACCTTCAAATTGGATTGGCATCCCTGTGTTCCAAGGTCCATTTCTTGCTTCCCCTTACTTCCACACAAACTCTGGTACACCCATCTTTCCCTGTACTCTGTCAGCAATATTCTCTGCCCCAGAGAGGACAGATGAGTCATAGGAAAAGCAGAGGCAAGCCTTCCACACTTTGAGCCTAAGCCCTGAAGCATACAGTTGTTGTTTTTTTCCATAAGCAAAATTTTCAAAACATAAAAACATTCAGTAAATGATACTGTAAACCCTGAACACACTCCCGCTCCCAACTAGAGCAGAGACAAGTGGTCTGACCCTGGCAGGTCCCCTGACAAAAAGCACCCTGAGTGTGAGTGTGTTTGTATACATGCAAGGAACAAAAGTTGCATATGCATATAAGTCCACATGAAGAATCTTCGGAAGTTCAGGGAACCCAGAAGAGAACTCATATTTTGTTAAGCAATTAAATTAAGAAGAATGAACAAAGGGGAAGTTCTTAGCGAACCCCCAGCACTTATACAAGAATGCCCTGCATGAGCCACCAACAGTCAACTTGTCTCAGAACCTGAGCAGAAGTAAGATCATGGTGGCAAATCCGATGAGAGGAGAGGGCCAGTGATGGCCTGCTCAGAGCAAGGATCACAGAGCCAATAGAACAACAGACTTCTCAACAGGTGCTAGTGTGCACGGATGATGGTGATCCCATCCAGCTATGTGTGGGTACCATGATGGCTGGGTAGGGCTAGAGGACCAATTGGCAGGCCAGCTTCTGCCATTCAGTAGTATACAGCTCAAAATAGAAAGGATTTTAGTTCTAAACAACAAAGTTACATGTCTCTGATAGCTGAGTTTGTGGCCTGAGATTCACACTCTATACAAACATGAGCTGTGCTTTAGAGTCCATGTATTTGCTGTTTGGAGGATAGGGAAGGGAAACGCATTTTCTATATCTGCTGCAGGTAGGCATAACTGGGAAAGCCACACTTTCCTCCTTTAGCCTCAAATGTCTTTGCTGCTCTTTGGGTACATGGTGGCTCCTCTTTTGGGCATGTGGCCATGTCTCAGGAGAGGAAAATATTGGAATTCATGGAGATGGAGAGTTGTCTGTGGATTTGTGGATCCAAATGCATAGACCAGAAGAGAGAATTCCCCCTAGACACCAGCAGTTATGACTGCACACCTCAGAGAAGACAAGGACAATAATTGAGGTGACATGGTCAGTTCTCTGGAGGATGAGATACAATTGTGAAAGGGACCTGACAGGTCTGGAATTCACAAAGAGAGTGAGGTTCAGCAATACAAACCATGACCACGTAGAGGAGGAAATGTGACTGTGTCCTCTGAAGGGAGAGCAGAGATTTCCCCGTGCCAAGGGTACAGGAGACCCAGCCTATGACCTACAAGCTCTGCTGTGTTCTGATGGGAAAGCTCATATGATTTTGAGATTTCATAAAAGGAACATTACATACAAGAGCACGCTGTCCCTTCTGTCTCTATCCTAGACAGGTTCAGAGATAGAGAAAAAAAAAAGGTAGAAAGTAAAATGAATTGGCGACAATAATAGCTACTTCTTTTTAAAATTGCTCTTTCATTTACTTATCTATTTTTTGTGGCCTGTGTGGGTGGGTGACATATGCATGCCACATCTTGTGTGTGGAGGCTAATTTGCTGTAGCCAGTTCTCTGCTCTCATAAAGTCACTCCCAAGGACTCAACTTAGGGCCTTTACCCACTGAGCCACCAATCCCAGCAATATCTATTTCATAGGATGGTTGTACATTAAATTAATGTCTGTGAAATACTTAGCACCTGGACCAGGAAGGCTCAGTTAGGCATTTCCCTCAGTCATCTGGGAGTCTGATGCCTGAATGTGAGAGAGCTGAAGACCTCCGTTAACTCCAGCCATTCTTTGTTCATTCATATGTCACTGGGGTCATCTGTCCTAGATGCTCACAAAAGAAAAACTACCTCACAAAACAGACCATCAGGAGGTGGTGGAGCATCAGGAGCATCTGTCTCCAGCTGCTTGTTCTGGGACGGCAGCTGCCGAGGCTGTGAGAACCCTGCCCCCAATGACTGTGTGTAAGCCAAGTTTAACTATTTGTAAAGTATTAGCTTGCTTGCACAGAAATGACTCAGGGCTTGCTGGCCTCTACCTTCTTCAGTCCTCAGCCTTGAACAGACCTATTTCAATAGCTCCTTATCAACGTCTGCGGCTAGGCAGATGGCTCAGGGGTTAAAAGCACTGGTTGCTCTTCCAGAGGGCCCAGGTTCAATTCCCAGCACCCATGGAGCAGCTCACAACAGTCTGTAACTCCAGTTCTGGTCTTTAGCATACCAGGCACACAACACACAGACATATATGAGGCAAAACACCCACACATAAAATTAAGAACAAAACAGTGGGTCACCTGAACAGTGGCAACAGTCACTGTGGGTCTCCCTCTCTGAAGAGGAGGCTTGTGTCATCTTTGTCACACACAGCGATCACATGGTGGGGACGCAGCTGGAGTTAACTGAGCCAGGAAGACCCAAATGAATACGTTCCCTGTATCAGGGACCCAGCTCAGAGGCCTTACTTAGCCTGTGACTGGCTACCTTTCAGAAGAGCAAACCCATGATCTGCAATGAGTAGTACAGAGGGCAGGAGAGGGCTAACTGAAGACTCTGAGCTTGAGGTTATCTAGCACAGCCATTGGAGGACTAGGCTACCAGAGGAGAACCCAAATGGTTCCCAAGGCCAGAGGAGACTCAATGTCCCCAGTAACCAGACTGGTGAAGAGCCCCAGCCGGAATCCTCTGTCTGTCTCTCTGTCTCTGTCTCTGTCTCTGTCTCTGTCTCTCTCTCTCTCTCTCTCTCTGCCCCTCCTAAAGTGTGATCCCAGAACCATCGATCCTAACAACCACAAATCCCCTTTCTTTTCGGCACATGCTCTTCCTTGATGGGCACAGGGTGTCTCTGCCACTGCAGCCTTCCTCTCAGGAGCATTTACATTGAGCACTCCCTGGGTACTGAGGAGGCTTGCATTTCATCTTCCCATTTAGTCTGCATGGAAGGTTGTTATTACATTTAGTTTTCCAGAGAGACTGGGGGAGGCAGCTTGCCCCTTTCAACAATGAATAAGCAGCAGAGCCAGGAGTTGAACTCGGGTCTCCAGTCTGCACATCTACAGCCATTTACTATTCATCCTCCCTCTGAGGTATCAGCATTCCTACCACAGTGCTGCCATCTTCCTTCCTCACTTTTACACCTGAGTCTCCCAAGCCTGCTGTGAAACTTTGTCCTTAAAGGAGGCTCAGGCTAGGTAAGGGAGGAGATGTAGTGTGGCCTCAGTCCTGGTGGTAGTGTGGGGGGGGGGGGCTGCCTCTGCCCTTCTGACAGAATTGTAGCAAAGCTCCTGCCCTGAGCATGTTCCTGAGCCCTGCTCTGCCGGTGGGGTCAATGCAGCGATGACTTGGAGTCTCCAGGATGGCCTAAATTAAGAAGGCTGTGAGAACTGAACTCCTTCCCAGCCCCTAGACTGCAGGTCTGGGAGTTCAGGGCCTAGGGTTGAGGCATGAGTGTGGCCAGGTTTCCCACGACAAGCAAGTGGCCTCTGGGAATCACATCCTTGTCTGAAGGGAACCCAGTCATTATCCTTTCCTGCTTCCCTGGCAGAGGCTGGTGGGAACGAGCCTGTACCAGGCCCTAGGGGACCAGGACTAGTCACTCACAGCCATCTAGGGAAAGGTCCCATTTGCAAATGTAATGATGTCTGAGACCAAGCCATGGCCAAGGAGCAAATAGGCCTATCATGCTGGCCAGTCTTCTCGTTCTTCCCAGCCTCATCCTGGTTGCTGGCTACGCTCAGCCCATTGAGACTGAAGGATACCCTTCCTGACTCCACACTATGGGCAGGTATGGGCTGAGGGGTGCCTGGACTTAGGAAAACTACAGTGGCCTCCTGTCATTGTTCATGTGGCAGTTTGGAGTGTGTCTTGCCAGATCTGCTCTTTCCCTTGGGCATGCTTTTGAGTGCCCACACACTGCAGACCCAGAGCCAAGCCGAGGCACAGAGGCCAATAAAGCAGTTGAGGCCCTGGGCCCTCCCTCAGGAAGCCCCATTGGTCCTCAGCTGTATGGAATTCTCCAGACTCGGTTCTTGTGGGGAGACTGGCTGGGAGCTCCCGTTTCAAAGAACATCTACTGCAGTGAGACAGCCACTCAGAATAATAGAAGACACCACGGGGCCCAGCGGCTTTGACACCACAGGCCCTGCCTCTCCTTACCCAGCATTCTTTCTCCCCTCTGCTTCCTCCTGCTCTTTGGATTCCAGAATCGGTATGAAAAAGTCAAATGATACATTTTCCCAATCCAGAGACACACAGAGACAGGTAGCGAGAGGGGTGGACTGCTGGGCCTTAGTCTCAGTTCTGCCACTCACTGCTCATGGGAGCTGGGGGTGACATTTAACCTCACTGCTTTCACTCCCCCTCTGTATACTGGGGAATGTGGAATAACTGTCACTATCTATAGGGTTGGTATTTGCTGGACATATATGTAACATTCAGCACCCAGCAATAATCAAATAGTGAGCTTGATGTATCAAATTTAAACTATAAAGCTCCCAGAAGCACTTAGTGCTCCTATTTGAGACAATTGAGCTCTAACCCATTTTTGCAAGAACCCCAATGGCAGGAAAAGCTCAAGGGCAGCAGGGCTTGAAGCATCCTTCCAGGGCCTGTTTCTAAATCTGTCCAGGGCTGGCAGACAGCAGTCATCTTTGTGTTTCTAGCTTGTTAGTCTGAATATTCCCAGTGCCCTTGGAGGGTTCCCATCCAGCGTGCACTCATGTAGAAACGCCACTCAGCAAACCTCTCATCAAAGACTATAAAGAAGATGTCAGCCCAACACAGACACATCTGGGAGCAGTAAGGAGGAATCTTTCATTTTCAAGCTTGTCTAGAAGCTCTGCTCTGAGGACAGCAGCCTAAGAGAAGGTGCCGTCAGAGGAGGGTGTGATGCAACAGGCAGCTGGCATGTATAGCGGGCCTGGGAATGTCCTGATGTCCTTCCCAGCCAGGCTGGGAAGCTCACAACAAGAGAAGCCTACAGGTCATGCTATAAGGCCTGAAGGCAGACATGGTTTCCTGCAGAGAGATGTTCTCAGCCTTCCTTCTGCTGAGGGGGAACACAAACTCTGGCTGTAAGGACAGTTCTTGGGGGTCGGCCTACTGAATAGACCAGTGTTGCTGCTGTACTGTAGGTTCAGACTGCATTAGGAACATCAGGAGGACTTAGGAGGATGACTTATTATCAGTGGGGTGCTCAAGCTGCCAAGTGGCTCGGCTGAGGTCTCACTTCCTTGGCATGCTCTTTCGATCTACCCCTTCCCCAACACCCTGCAGCAACACCACACAAGCTTGCAGCCTGCCACCAGCTAGGGTGCTGTTGAGAAGTGCTATCAGAGAGAGGACCATACCCACGAGGAGCCCTCAGCACAGATAAACTCACTTGTCTTCTGTACCTCTAGCCCAGTGATCTTGTGCACACCACTGAACTGTCTGAGTCTTTGTTTTCTTGTGGTTCAAATGTTGGAGGCAGAGGGGTGGAGAAGGGCCATACAGAAAGAGGGAGGTGTGCTGAACCATCACAGGGATGTCGGATGCTGTCTGAGAGCCCAAGAAGTCTGCCTGCCCTGTGGCTTAGAGTGTAGGCTGGGTAGCCAGACAGCCTTCACTTCATTCCTTGCTCCCCAGCCTGGTAACCTCCCTCAGCCTCGGCATCCTCAATTGTAAGATAAGAATAAAAATTAAACCTTCCTCGTTGGATTGTTGTGATAGCAATGATCATCATCACCATCTTCATCATACTCATGACATTTGGATGTCATGAGGGCTGGCTGCAATGTCAATCTTGACTTAGAGACCCTAGGCAATGTGGTCCAATTAGTGAGTACTTTCCCATCCAACACCAGGATAATGAATAATAATGGCCATACACATGTCACAGAGTGACCTCAGGATTAATGTGGCTGTCTCCCCACAGCTCCTCAAAGCAGAAGTTCTCTAAGAAGTGTCTGCCATCTGGACCTACCACCTTTGTCTTTCAGAAATTGGGTGCAGTCTGGTTAGGCTGTAGGCTTTCCAGTGACCTGTTAGTAAGACCGAAGGAATCTGAGTAACTAACTGTCTGCAGGAATGCATGCTCCAGGACCGCAACCCAACCTCGAGGCCCCAGGCAACCTAGCCTTGAGGCCCCAGGCTGCTTATCACTTGCTGCCCAGCAGGTAAATGCTAACAGGATCACAATGTCAAGGAGAGGAACTATCATCAGAACCCCTGCTCCATTAGAGCCCTGAGCACGAAAGCACCCTTGACACTGAAAGGCCATGTTCCTGACCTCCCTTCCAGCATGGCTCTGCTCCCCAGGGACAAGCCCCAGCTTGGGATTTGGAGAGAAGGTTGAGCTTCGGGGCTCAGGGCTATTTGCACAGGGAGGAGGTGGAAGTCAGTTCAGAAGCTTGATTCATTACAGCAGCAATCTCTGTCAAACAGGTTTCTGCAGTTCAGGGAGACCTCTTTGTTCTATTGTTCCAGACAGCCAGACAGGCCTCCCTGCAACCCTGGAAGAGGGCAGTGGGGCGGGAAGGAAGCCCCCTGGTGTCTTGCCAGCAGGCAGCTGCCAGCAGCAACTCTGATCACACAACACCAAGGATCCGATTTTGTCTGATTACAGCCTGTAAACCTGGGGGATGAGGGGTAGCCAGGATCTGTAAAAAGCAGCTGACACTAAAAAAAAAAAAAAAAAAAAAAAAAAAAACCTAGATCCAAGGAATACTTGAGGATTCTCAGCTCTCCAAGTCTATGATATGACAGGAAATCCAGTCCAGCAAAGGACACTTAAAAGACTAGCTCTCAGACAATTTGATTTTGATGCAATAGAATGTTACTTAATCAAGATACTACATAGTGTACATAGGTACTACATAGTGAGAATATTATATATGTGTGCTAAAGATGCCAGATACAAAAAAAAAAAAAAAAAAACAAAAAACAAAACTATACATTATTTGACTCCATTCATATGGACTATCCAGAACAGATAGTTACACAGATAGTAAGCAATTGGTGGTTGTCCTCTGTGGAGAGGACCAATAATGGGAGTGACTATCAATGGTCAAGGTCTGGAGTGACATGGTGTTGATATCTGCACAGCCTTGTGAGTATAACCCCCTCACTCAGCTGTTAGTTTTAAAGAGTGACTGTTACAGTGTGTGGGTTGTCTTGACTTTAAGAATCACGTGATTAAGAAGATCTAACTACTTGCTCCACAAGCATTTGCTGGGCAAGCCACTGTAAGGTAGCAGGCTTACATGGATGGACGAGGCAGGAGGTCCTTTCTTCCCAGTGTCCCTGTTCTCTCCCCGATTAGGTTGAACTTCTGTAAGTCTCCGCTTCTTGGTCTCAAGCTAAGAACTTTTCTGTCAACATTGGTTGGCTGGCTGGTTTGAGGTTTGAGGTTTTATGGTTTTTGTTTACTTGTTTCTTTGATCTGAGGCACGGTTTCATGGAGCCCAGGCTAATCTTCAATTTGACAAATAGCTAAGGGTGGCCTTGAACTTCTACTGAGATTTGTGCTCTGTACCACCACACCCAGCTTTTGCAGAGCTGAGGTGGAGACAGGGCTCCATGCATGCTAGGTTGGCACTCCCCAGTCCTAATCCCTATTGGAGTTTTTCTCTAGATAGTGTGCTATGGAGATGGCTGAGGATCCACATTTTCTGGAACAGTGGTCCCCAGACTCAACGGTCCACTTGGACTTGCCTCAGAACAGAGCCCCATTAAATCCCAGGCTCTGAAGCTATTGTCCAAACCAGCCCAAGGTGGCCTTTGTTCTCTTAGCTGCACACCTGCCAGGTTCAAGAACTTCTGTCCCAACACTTCATGGCCAAAGCCTGGCTGCTTTTCCAGTGATGTGCCTTGACTTCTCTGATGGCATTCTGGATTGTTCTAGGCCTCCTAAACACACTCCTCCTACCTTCACTTTCAGCTTCCCCCAGGAGGCTCTGTCTTGTGGATCACTGTCTTGGGGAACTAGCATTTTGCCTCTGGCAAACTTCATTGTTGTCTCTCTTCTTTCTCCATTGGTCTTGATAAGATGGAAACCAGGGAGAGCTGTGCACAGCTCAAGAAAAGCTAAGTTACCCTTCCACTGGTAGAGAGTCATTTGCACTCTAAACATGAGCTGCTTGCTCTACCCTGTCCTCACTTTTCAGCAGATGTCTCCAGAACATTCCTATGTGCAGATGGTCTTTTACAGAGAACACATAGATGTATGGTTATGTTAAAGAGGATTGATTTATATATAGGTTTGATCATAATCTCTCTCTCTCTCTCTCTCTCTCTCTCTCTCTCTCTCTCTCACACACACACACACACACACACATCCTGTAAGGTTAAGGTGATTTAGTGCTCTCCCCGTGTGCTCATTTCCACTTTGAGTAGCTGAGCACAATGATTGCAAGTTGCCAAAGGTGACCTTGAACTGCTGATTCACCCATCTCCTCTCAAAGCTCCTCTCAAAGGGATTATTTGCCCAGCTGTGTGGCTTTCTTTGAAATTCTACTGTTCTGTTCCCCTGGCTGAGTTTACCTCTGAAGATGTATTCATACCTACCAGGTGCCACTAGAGGGGGGTCGATTTCTTGCAATTGAATTGGTATGAGAGGGCTTGGAAAGGTGAGAAGCCAGTTCCTCCTGTCAGTGGCTAGCAGATTGGTGGGGGGGTGGGGGTGGGAATGGGGTGGGGGTGGGAAGGTTTCCTACCTGGGTCACTCTTCTCTGCAAAGGCCACGATGTGGATCCCGTTCAAGTCATCTTCCTGGAAGAGACAGAATCAAAGGTTCATCTCAAGAGGAGAGAAATACAAATGCATGTGTTAGGGAGGCTGGCATGGAAAGGGGGATGGAAATGAACACTGAGGCACAAATGAGTAGAACAGGCACACATAGAGGTGGCAGATGCTGATGGCAGCACACATGGAACTTTGATAAGAGACTGGGATCATTGCTTTCTAAGACAGGACAACGGGCACAAAGGTCAGCAATAAAAAGTTCTCACTCCTGTGGTCTGGCGAGTCCCGAGAGGAGCGGCAGCAAAGGGGAAATTGGGAAAGGTGTAAGTCTGGCTTATCAGGGACTCCAGCGCAACAAAACTCTGCAACACAGCTCTAGCAAATTTAAGTTTCAAGACAGTTCTGTGAATGTGACAGTTTTGAAGTTCCCCACCAGGAGATATCACCAGTGATGGACCAGGTTACAGGGACTTCTAAGCATGGCTGGAAGATCCTGAACCCCCTCCTAGAGCAGTAACAATCCCTCAGCTCAACTAGGATTTGGGTGTCTGGTGCTCACACAAGAAATGAGGATTCAACCATTGCCTCTGGTTGGAGAAGCAGAGCCCATGGAGTAATTTAGGGCCGCCACCACACGGGTACCTGGCGCCCAAGAAGGCCAGAAGAGGGTATGTGATTCCCCCAAATTAGCAGCTATAAGTAGCCTGATGTAGATGTTGAGAACCAAACTCAGGTTCTCTGCAAGAACAGCAAATGCTCTCAACCCCTGAGCCATCTTCCCATCCCCAACAGGAAGGTTTCTATGAATGTGAGAGGCTCTGAGGAGAGTTTGGAATTTGGGACTATGGTGGTGGTTTTAAGATGTCACTGGGGAGAGATACCAGAGGAGGGAAAGTAAACATGGGAACATATCAGATATTAAGAGCATTTCATAGTTGCACATCTGGAACAGGAAGCCCACCTTCCTGTACCGACTTCCTGTTGATTATTTACTAGAGAAGGAAGAGTGAGGGTTTGGAGCAGTCCCTTGTGTAAAAACCTCTGAAGACTCCACACTATGAGATGGAAAGATAAAGCCAATTGTATCCTGATGTCAGCTGCCATGGAGACAGCTATTCACTGGGAGCCCTTGTGTCATATCAGAGTCATCCTATGGGGGTAGGGGACCCAACCTCTCCACATCCCTGTTTTCCATTTCGATTGCCTTTAATGCTGCTGCAACCCTATCTAAATGCTAATTTTTCCCTTTGAGTTTGGGATGAACAAAACCTCCCAAAAGTCTAAGATAGATTAAGTAGAAAATATTATTATTAAAAGCAAGAGAGTGGGCTTTGTGTTGGCCAGATTCTCTAGGGGAATTGAAAGTTACAGATATATATGTGTCTGCACCAGGTTATTAGGAAAACCTGACAGTGACCAGAAGGAGAATCTCAAGTTCACTGTTGTACATTTGCTATTATTGCCAGACAGACTACCCCGCTCAGGTCTCATTAGGCGGCCCCATGTCTCTGTCGCCTGCCATCAGTTAGAATGGAGCACCCATAACTCTGTGAAGCAGGCTTCATTTCTGCCTCCCCTTCTAGAATGCACTTGGAAATTGGTTTTAGAATTAAGAATCCATATTCATTTTCTGACATGCTGCTCCAAGCAGGCCTGTCACTGCCTTGGACTGAAATGGGCCCTGAGTGAAAGAATACTGTCAGAGGGACAGAGGGACTCTTTAAGCATCTCAGGTATTTGGAGCATGAACCTGTATCGAACACCTGTGGAGATGTGGGCAGGCTGTGCCAGATGTGGGGAATTTTCTTCAATAAACTTGGAGCAAGAATCCATGTGCAAACCATAAGTCAAATGTACTTCATATTCCTATTCAGTACTTAAAGGATCCCAGTGACTTACCTAAAGCTACAGAGGTAGCGGTGATCTAAGTGGGATTGACTGGATCTGTCTAGCCCAAAGACCCTCTGTGCTAGCCAGCTCAGTCTGCTATAACAAGGGGACATAAACTGAGTAACTTATCAACAACAGGAAGCAGGGGGAAACTTACTCCTCACTGTGCTGGGGGGTGGGAAGTCTAAGGTGCTCTCACCAGTGAATTCAGTGAATTCAGTATCAGATGAGGGTCTTTATCCTTTGGTCTTTGGTCCTCCTCTTTTTTTTTTTTTTTTTTTTTTTTTTTTTTTTTTTTAGATAGCAACTCTCCTACATAGCCCCAGCTGACCCTGAACTCCCTATTCACTATGTAGCCCAGGCTGGCCTCAAACTTCTTAGCCTCCTTCTGGGAGTCCATGCATGATTCATATGCCCAACGTGGGGCTTCTTTCATAGTGCAATCCCAACTATGAAGGCTCTGTCATGGTAACCTATCACCTTCCAAAGGCCCCACATTTGACATCAGCTTTTCAAAACATGAGTTTGGATGAGATACAAATATAGACTACAGTACCAACAGTGAATGGCAGAGCAATTTCTATGAAGAAATTCATTGCTGCTGCATGCTATGAATATGCTTAAAGAGGCTAAAAAGGGGGCCTGTATATACAGTGGCCATGTACCAGACCCCAATGAGCAGGGGATGTGGAACCACTAGTCAACACCCTACTGTAGATTCCTCAGCTTTTTGTCTCTTCCTGCCTTACAATGAATGTCCTAGCTTTTGGCTATAAATATTAAAATTATTGTTATTGGTTCATTTATTATTATTGTTGTTGTCGTCGTCGTCATCATCATCATCATCATCATCATCATCAGGTGATGGCAGGCAGGAAGGGAGCCTGCCAAGCATGCCTGTGGAGGTCAGAGAACAACTTTTTGGAGTCAGTTCTCTCCTTCCAATTTCATGTGGGTTCTGGGGGTTGAACACAGGTTTCCAGGCCTGTGCAGCAACTGCCTTAACTAGCTAAGACACGCCCCTTGCCCTGAGGTGTTAAGTTTTGAGGCTATTTTTCCTTTTCAACCCTCAGCATTTAGAGCTGGGGAAGCAGCGTTCTTTTTACTAACTCTCTTCTTAACACAATGTAACAATGTAACACATCATCCACCAACTCAATAGAGAGTCTGTCTGTAAAACTTCTTAGGTGACAAGTGTTAGAAACGTAGCAATGCCAAGAAAAACTAGTGTTACAAAATACTCACAGCTAACTTACCACTGTCTGTATTTTGTTCTGTTTCCTTCACCTCTGTGGAACTTTCTCAGACGAAATGAACAGACTTAAAGAAAACAAAACAAAGCTCCCTAGTGCAATGGCATTACCTTGGGCCTAATCGAAGGCTCTTTAGTCCTATGGTAGAAAGGATTCTGCATTGCAATAGAGCAAAGAATCCTTCAGAAGAAATCACTGAGGCAGGTGAAGTGGCTCCACAGATAAAGGCTCTTGAGTTCAGTTCTGGGGACCCACGTGGTGGAAGATAGAAAAACCAACTCCCACAACTTGTCATTGAACCTCTACGTCATCACACATAGGTGCCATGGCACACATGCACTGGTACTATGGTCTCCATGCAGCCCCTCACACACAAAATAAATAAAATATGAAATAATGTTTTTCGAAATTGCTGACCCCTATACCCTATGGGCAGTTGCCGCAGATTCTGGTTATTGACAAGAACTAGGAGAGCCTCAGAAAACTGTCAAGCCAGCACTAGGTCTGGATAGGTTCTCTGACCTCAAAGTTCTTGGTTTTCCACACAGCAGATACCACTAGCCGCCATTTTCTTCAGTGCAAAGGCATGGTATGACTTTGTGTGGGCTGCTGTCATAAAAACCTGCACAAGAGCAGAGAGCCAAAGGCAAACTGTTCTCAGAACAACTCGCTCTCCTGTGTTGTGCAACTAACTGCTTTGTGATGTCAGCAAAAACGGACTGAAGTGAAGACTTTTAAGTCCCTTGGAGTCGCTGCTCTTTGGAGCAGTGCCCCCTGGCGTGGGCAGAGGGGCCGGGAGAGGTATGGGTGTGACTCCTCAGAAGTCCTTCTGACAAGAGGTGTCTGCTTTTCCTTTTCAAAAATGCAAAGATGGCCCTAGAAGGACCCGTGCTACCCTTTTCCCTATTTGGGCACCTGGATGTGGGCTGGCCAGATCACGTGACTAGCCCAGAATGCAGTATTGGGAAGGAATGAACCCTTCTAGCTTCTTCTCAACTTTGATTAAACTCATTAAGAGTTGAGTGTGTGGCACAGGGCAGTGAACAAGATGGCGGCAGCCTGTCGGTCTGCTGTTGACTGCTAAAAGTAATGCTCTGATCATGACGCTGAATAAACGGAGTTGAGAGTTAGTCCCAGCAGGATCAGGTGAGCACATCCTTCCCACCCTGCCTGTGATGTGTGTGTGTGTGTGTGTGTGTGTGTGTGTGTGTGTGTGTGTGTGTGTGTATGGGGTGGATTTCAGAGGTTCATAGGCTCAGGGGCAGGGAGGGGACACAGCCATGGAGACCCCAGTCTTGGGTGTGATATGGTGTCAGAGAGGAGAGTCTGGGAGTGGGGATGTTTCTGCAGTTGTGTTATCTCCCTTCCCAGAGCCTCCTCAGCAATCAAGAATGGCCTCCGGGATAAAGAAAAGGAGTGAAGACACCACAGATGAGAAAAAGCAGCAAGTGTTCTCCCTTTAAACTGGCATTTCATGTCTGAAAGAAAGATTGGGAACCTGTTCTAGGGTCAAGGGCACTGCAGAAATATAACAACCAAGTGCAATAGTCCAGAGGCACATTAGATGCTGGGCCTGTGTAAAAAGGGCTTTCTCTTTCAATAAAGGATGCTAATGGGACTCCTGGCCAAGACTATACAGTTAGATGAATATTGATTTCTGGGTTTGTTTTTCGAGACTGGGTTTCTCTGTGTAACAGTCCTGTCTGTACTGAAACTCGTTTTGAAAACCAGGCTGGCCTCTAATGATTTCTGGATTTTTATCACCATGGCTATGAGAGAACACTTGAAATATTTTGGGATTTTTATATCAGTTATAGAACTCTCAAATAGCATAGAAATATATTTACACATATGTATTTGCATATAAACATATTTATATATATGAAAAGAGAGAGAAAAAAACCAAGGTGGTAACATTTGAGGACTCTGGGTAAAGAGATAATGGATTTTTTTGGATTGTTTTATAAATCTGAATTTATTTTAAAGTAAAAGCAGTTTTTAAAGGCTGCCTGTCCAACTTACAGCCCACAGGCCATGCAGAAACATGTACAGCTATGCATGAGATCTGAGGGCAAAACCCGTAAACTTACTTAACACATTATAAGATTTATTTGGGTGGGTGTTGCTTTTTTTCGGTTTGTTTTACCTTTTTGTTTTTAATTTGATTAGGTAGTTCTGGAGGCTGATCTTTCTAGATGACATCATGTGGGAATGTCAAAAGTCTGGACAGCAGTACAGACATTTCTATTCCTTTACATTTATTTGGTAACAAGAGTCGGTTTCCTGAATGCTTGCTGCACCTTCAGAAATGGAAGCAAGTCTAATGCTGGGAATGTGACTTACTTCCTGTGCAACCATGACACTAGATTATGAGTTTAAATTTCAAGTAAATAAATGTTTCCATTCTAATGGCCAATACCACAGTGGTAGCCTGTGGGGACATAGTGACTTTAGGAAGGAATACTGGAGAAAACATGAGATCTGGGTCCAGATAGCCTTGCATTCCAAGAACTAATGCTTATTAGTTTTGTGTCCATGAAAAATTAACCTAGAATGATCATTGCTTTTCTCTGTGTAAAATGGGCTAAAATGGTATTTGTCTCATATCAGAGAGCTGGCATTTCTAAGTGGAACACCAGCAATGGCCTAGAAAACATCCCATAGTCTCTGGTTGTTTTTGTCCATAGACTGCTAGAGCTGAGGTGGAGTGGAGTGAGGTGGAGTATCATGGACAGGCCTGTTGATGATACTATTTGAGCCACCTGACATAGACCTAGAGCAGGAGCTGATGTCCCCACTTCCTAGTATCTTCAATTGATGCTTTAAAAGAAAAACAAAACCCCAAAACTATGATTTATTAACCAAGCACCTGCCATGTCTTGAACAACCCATCTCACTTGTCCTCACAAAAAGTCTCCAAATAACTGGAGAAACAAAAGCCAGAAAGACCATGTGGCATGATATAGACACAAGAATACTGAGTGGCAGATACTGGACTTGAATCCAGGTCTCTACGACTTTCTAGACTGGGGTTCTTCCTCTTTGCTGCCTAACACAGCTGGTGGCACACAGGTGGAAGCCGACCACTAAGGGAAATAAGTTTGAGCAATGTTACTGAGAGAATAGTACCCAAGTGGGTCCTACTGTTTCCAATACTGTGCTCTCTAGATGTCACCCCACTCAGTAAGACTTGGTAGTCAGAGGGCAACCTTCTTAAAGGACACACCCACAACTCTTTGCCATTTCCTTACCCATGTTTCAAACATGTCCTCTGGGCGCAATCGACGTAGGGTGGGTCTGAAAAAGAGAGGAGCTTCCTTGAGTAGGTAGAAACTGAGTCTCAGTCCCATCCAAATGAGACACAGGTTCACATTCTTGAGCCCAAGGAGCCCTGAACCCATCTGTGTCTTTCCACCTGGTGTGTCAGGAGAGCACTAGGCCCAAACCATTCAGCCGAGTCACAGACCCGTTAGATCCAAGGCACACCAAGCACATAGTGATGGGTTAGAGGGAACAGAGACAGCACCTTCCCACAGTCCCCTCCTTAAGATGGGGATCACTCTGTCTGTAGGAGAACCCAGAGCCGATCTTGAACAAGGAAATGGGACAGACCACAATTATTCCAATGCAGAATGCCAGTTTTTGTCATTATGGTCATCCATCAAAAACTGCAAAAATAGGTGTCATGTTTACCCTTCCCAGTGTTGAATCCCTGCAGGGACAGACTGTGCAGGTGTAGGGATCATGGCGCTTCAGGAGCAGTGAATACATCTGTCCATGTCAGGAGGGAGGAAAAGTGAGGCACTGGATCCACCACCATGGTCCATGTTCCCAGATGGCTCCTCCCTCCAAAGCAGAGGCAGAGGATTCCAGCTGGTGGGTCAAGGCCTCTTGTTTGTGTAACTAGACCCTGCCCGGGACACTGCCGCACCCACTTGTTTACAACACAAGCAAGGGCTGCTGATCTGCTCCAAGCCCAGAGCCAAACAGCCGTGACAGAGGCCATTTGACCCCAGAATTGTGTAAATGTTTACTGCGGTGGTTCTTCAGTGAAAAATTTTGTAGATGCCTACTAAAGATGCTCTGAGTCCTAGCAAGTATCCCTGTCCCAGAAGTTGTCTGTTGAATTGTTCCTGGTTATATTAGTTAATTACTAATCCCACTGTCTGAGACTAACAGCTCCATAAGGTTGGAGAATAGCCAAAGTTCCTCCCATAAAGCACCAGGAATGTTGCTCCACACATAGGAAGTTGTCGTTATAAGTTCATTCATCTCTTACTCTGGCTTAGGGTGGGGGTGGGAAATGCCAACTAGAAGGAGGTAGTCTAAGCCTACCTGCAAATGCAGAGCCTCATTCAGAAGTTGTAACATCCTGGTCAATGACTGACAAAGCCACACTGGCCAGTTCTGTTCTACTGGGTCTCTTATTCTAGGTTGTTGCTCTTGGTGACTCTGGATTGTCAACACCAAGAGGATCTTATCCATTATCCATCCTCCCATCCCCTACATGCTGTCTTGAATACCTTTGATGTTCCTTCACAAACTCCACAAGCTCCTCTTCTGTGTAAGGTTTGTTAGGGATGACATTGGGCTCATCCATAAATGGCTCATAGAAGCCAACTTCATTCATCTTCAAGGACAACTTCTTTGCCACCTGTAACAGACAGAGATCTGTCACTCATTTGAATGCTAACCTAGAGTAGTAGTGGGCTACCGACCCAAAAGTAGGAGCTTGTGTTCTCTGGTAACAACATGAGAGCTATTTTAACTTAAACATTGAAGTAGCAGGGACTCTATCACTTGTAGTCTCTGCAGGACTTTCTCTTTCTATCAAGGCAGGTTCAATAGAAAAAGACTTGTCTGGAGAAATAATACGACAAGGAGCGGTTGGAATAACAAGTGGTGTATGTAAGTGTATGGTTGTCTTCCTTTTGCTGTGTTTGCCAGGGCTGGAGGAGCGAGCAGATGCTAAGAGAGCATGTTCACAGAGTGGCTTTAACTGAACTAATTTGGATGGAAAAGGCAATTGATGGAAACCATTAAAGTACAGAGGTTCACAGAGTCAAAAGCCAACGCATTCACCTGTCCTTGATCTGCTCATAAACTCTAATTGCTAGTTAAGCTGAAGCATCGGATCTACTCTGAACCATCAGGCCCAGTCTCTGTACCAAGCTTGCTAGATATTTGTTGGCCCTGAGAACTGCCCAGCCACAAGACAACTAATTGTTCTGCTTTGCCCAGGAGAGAAATGCTTCCTGGAACTTAGGAGTTTCATTGCTAAAGTGCTAAACAGAGACAGGATGAGTGACAAAGCACCATGTCTGACAATTTTCATCTCTTGTTTAAGGAGCCACACAGCAGTGTGTTGTCAGGGCAAAATGGTTGCTGTGTTTGCCTGCAAAGCTGCTGAGCTCAGGACCTCTCTTTGTGACATGCTTTGAGTGGCCTGGAATGTGCAAGGCTCAATAGGAGGCCAAATGCCATTCTCCAACTCAGAGCCATGATCCAAGAAAGCACAGGATAGAACAGTGGCTCCCTTTAAAGTGCACAGCATTGCCTAGGAGCTGATACCTTGTGGTGGTAACCAGAGCACAGTGACCCAGTAACCCAGGGATTGGGACTAATGGGGGAAGGGTGAGCATTACATAAGCTCTTACACAAGGAGCTCCATTCTGCAGAAACACTTATGTCCACAAGTATCCAGGTCACTATATTGCAAAAGACAAGCTTCAATCCAACATCCTATGCAGGGTTGAAGCCAACAGGCCACAGAAAGAGCTATAACCCCAGCACTAGGGCCAAGGAAGAGAATCACAGATTCAGCATCAGATTAAACTAGGGTGGGTTCAAAGGCTAGTCTCACGTATGATGATCTTGTCTCAAGATAAAAAGGTACAAAGTAGACTGAGGATGGAGTTAGGGAGTATGGAACTTTGACTAGCACACATGAGGTTCAATCCCCAACACACACACACACACACACACACACACACACACACACACACACACAGAGAGAGAGAGAGAGAGAGAGAGAGAGAGGATGTGTTGAGTTTTTCTTACACTAGATTGTCTCCTGGGGGGGGTGCAGTGTGAGTAATGCAGTAATGAGGCAGGGGTCTGTGGGCGTGGGAGAAGCAAACAAATCAGGGCCTGTATTGACACAATTCTTTGCACACCTGCCTATGGTACAAGAAGGTTGAAAATGCTAGACTCTGCTCTCTGGGCTCACTCACTCACTCACTCACTCACTCACTCACTCACTCACTCACTCACTCACTCACTGCATGTTTTAAGGGCCAGGTTTCCAGAAAATGAGAAGTGATTAGCATGAAAAAAAAAAAAAACTATAATGCTAGCCAGGTGGTTGAGACTCATGCCTTTAATCCCAGCACTAAGGAGGCAGAGGCAGGCAGATCTCTATGAGTTCAAGGCCAGCCTGATCTACAAAGCAGTTCCAGGACAGGCTCCAAAGCGATACAGAGAAACCCTGTCTTGAAAAACCAAAAACCAAACCAAACCAAAACAAAACTGTAATGCTATCAAGCACATAGCCTGCTTACTACATGCTGGCCACAGTTGCAAAGTGCTTTAGGTCGGCTGTGTTATACAGTACTTACTTTGAGCATGGTCGGAGCTACCACTCTGATCTCTTTTACATACAAAGAACAATTTAGGTAAGTGATTCATCAGGATAAGAAGGGCAGGGTCACAATTGTATTCCAACATATTTTCCTTTGAGAATTCCCTTCTCCTTGACCATGCAAAGAAAGAACTCTGTAGATATTCCATAAACACTACATTGACAGCCTACACTCAAATGAGATTGTTCTTTGTCATTTTGTCATTCGTTCTTATTAATTCATCCTACATCAGGGGAAGTAATCATGACCTCCTGAAGGTGAGAGCTGGCCAGAGCCACATGTCACACAGCATGCATATGCCTGTGTGTACATATGTGCCTTTGCACAGGGTCTCTGGTCCCTGGATGCCTCTGTCTGGGTCTGCAATGTTAGGTCTATGAATATAAAATTGGATTGTTGAGACTTTAAGTTTTAGTTTGGAAGAGTCTAAGATTTCCAGCAGTCTCTGGTACTTGTTCCTGTACTTCTCTTTCTTTCAGTCTTGTGTAATTGTATCTTAAATAGCAATGACTGAAGGAGAGTTGACTGGCCGATGAATTCATCAGTTCCGTTTGTCTGTAAGTATTTAGTGGGACCTTCTGTATCCAGGGCAAGACTCTAGCCTGGGTGTTACAACTACATAATGATGTATTATACTCTCAGATATCAGATAGTTCCATAAAAATAAAATTGCCCATGGTTTCTTTTGTCCTTTAGTTGAAATAAGTTTTGGCACTTTCAAGCAAACTAAAAAGGACAATGAACATTTTCCAGGCATTTGCACACAGGGGATTTTGACTCAGGACTTTCCTGCCATTTAACAGGTCAGTCCCATGGTCAGCAAAGAAGAATCATCTGAGCAGGAACTTGGGCCCTGCCTACACCTCTCTCCTCCATCGGTTCCTTCAGGGTTCAGTGTGACTCGGAACAGACCAAGTCTTCATTTCACTGGTCCCCAGGCAGAAGAGAAGGGCAGGCCAGAGCGGTGTGAGATCAGTAGAGCTGCCAGGCTGTCAGGTGCAGAGGTGGACTCTGGCCTCCTTCTCCCACACCTTCCTCACTGGCCCGGAACTTTAGGGTAACCTGATCTATACCACAGGGGACCCTGTAGGGTCCCAAACCTGTGTGGCCTCTAAAGTTCCCTGGGAAGAGTTTGCTTTTGTTTTAAGCTTTAGATTCCTAGGGCTAGAACGATGACTCAGCAGTTAGGAGCATATACTGTTCCCTCAGAGGACTGGATCAGTTCCCAGCCACCTGTAACTCCACCTCCAAGGGGATCTGATACCTCTGATGTCTGTGGGTTCCTGCACCTTCGTATACACACACACACACACACACACACACACACACACACACACACACACGTGTCCTGTCACAACCCTAAAAAAATCCTGGAATAATACCACAGATTAATGTTTTTTATATTTTCTCTTAGCTTGTGTTCCTAACAGCCAATTCTTCCTGACCTCCCTCCCTCCCTCCCTCCCTCCCTCCCTCCCTCCCTCCCTCCCTCCCTCCCTCCCTCCCTCCCTCCCTCCCTCCCTCCCTCCCTCCCTCCCCCTCTCTCTCTCTCTCTCTCTCTTTCCTCTTTCAGCTCAGATGTGCAATCTCCAACCATTTGAGGGCTTTCTCCTTTGTGGTGACCAGATGTCCTTGTGGCAAACTGGTCTGTCTTCCCCCTCCCAGGTTTTATTACTTTTCCTGCTCTTCAGCTCTTTTGCCCCCTGCTGGACAATTGGTGAGGCTGCAGCCATGCCTTCTGGATTTCACCACCTCCCCACTTGGCAACAAGGTCTGCACTTGATGGGTGGCACTAGCCTGGTCCCTATTCCATAGGGAGGGGCAGAAACTGCCTTTCTCTTTTCAAAGAATGTGAACCTCACAAGACTGAGGATGACCTTGAATACCTTGCTTATGCATGCAGTATTGGAGATCAAACCTAGGGCTTGGTGCATGTTAGGCAAGCGCTATTCCAACTAAGCTTACATCCCCAGCACTCAGAGATCTTAACCTACAATCTCTCAGTCACCCCTGTCTCAGGAAAGCCAGTGATAAATATAAATTGGGTTTCTGCCTTCATCCTTGCCCAATACACTACTGTGATCTCCCCTCCTCCTGGGTCTAGGTGTCTTTTTATTAACAGCACTTCTTACAGCTAGCTAACATGTACTGCATGCTTGCAATAGTCAGACTCCAGCCACACTCTCTACCCATGGCTTCCTTCTCTGATCACAGCTGTGTAGAATGGCATCTTTGACATCATGTGAGACTTAGACTTTATCCAGCCTTACCAGTCAGTCACTGACTATGACCAAATCTATTTATTGTTCCCTGCCTTGGTTGTTCCCTCTGTGCAGTGAGAATACTAGCCCCTCTTTCAGGCCTTTGAGAAGATGGAATTGCCCATCCCTGGGTTAAATAATCACTTTAAAATGATCATTGTCACCATCTTGCCATTTTTGCTTAAAAGCTGTCCCAATTGTGAACCTCAATCAATGAGGGCAAACTTTCTTTAAATTTAGACCTCATTGGATTCATTGGTTAACCTTTCCTTTTGGATTATGGGCTTGAATACAAGGACCATATCCTCAGAAGTCGTTTTCCAGTCTCTTAACACTTCTGGACAAAGAGGCAAAGAAGGATGGTGGAGAGTTCCAACTTTAATTGTCTATGCCCCTGAACGTGTTTAAATGGGGTTTTCATAGGTACTTACCCCCTTGTCAAAGGTAGCAAAGAACTTGATATAAGGTTGGAAGTGTTCGGCTGCCTCTTGGAATGCTTTGTAATCTAGGAGGGAAGCCACAGGAGAAAGAACATTTGCTAGAGGCAAACTGCACACTTGGAGGGAACTGTGTTAGATAACTAATACTATCTGAAAAGACAGTTGGAATTTATGGGCTACCTTCCCCCACAGGTTTGTGAACAGAAAGCAAGAAACAGGGGAAACTGAAGAAGAAGAAAAACATACATTGAAAAACCCCAAATCAAAAGAAAAAAATAAAACAAAGAAATCAAAAACAACAATAACAGCAAAAAAACCTCCTTCCACCCAAATGCATAGTGTTATAGTTTCAGCCACTGGAGTTGAGGTTTCTGGATAAAGGAGCCCATAGTAAGAAGGAAACTGACCACACTGTGTTTACAGTTAAAAGAAAGACAGGACCCCATGAATCACTTCAAGCTTCTCCAAAGGAGGGTTCCTAGGTGCATCTTTCATGAATGGTTTTCTTTTTTAAAAGCAGGTTAGTTTTCACAGCCCTCCTCTCCGTCCTCCAGCTCTTTTCCACCATACTCCCTGAGCCTTTGGGGGACAGGGATTGGTAGAGATGCCCCATCTACACTGAACATTCACAGTCTCTGCATTTTAGCCACTGCAGTGAGGAACTTTCTGACCAGGCTTGGGAACTGCACAGATCTTTGGTTATAAAGTTAAGTATTTACTTACTGTTTTCTGAGACAGGGTCTCACTATGTAGCCCTGGCCTCAAACTTAATAGAGATCTACACCCTCTGCCTCCCAAGTGCTGGGATTAAAGGCCTGTGCCACCATGCTTTGTTAAATATAAATATTTAGAAGACAGTTTGATGTAATAGGAGATGTAATAGGAGGGTCCTTGGAGGAATTCAGAGGGGCATCAGGGGTGAATATGATCGAAATACATTGTGTGTGTGCATAAAGTTTTCAAAGACTAAAAAGAGGTTTGTTTTTAAACCCTGACTCTAAGAAGATTATTTTAAACCAAGCCTATACTTGACTCTGGTTTCAAATGTATATCCAAATTTGTCACAGAAGGAAGGAGCCACACCCATGTGAGAACACTGCCATTTACTACATTTGGGCAAAGACTGCATGAGGTGTCTGGGAGTCAGGCCTTGCAGTCAAAGATGGGAATGGTGGCACTTGTTATAAGTCAATTTTATAATCCTCTTCATAAGATTGACATTTTCCATTTCATTGGATTTCATACTCCTGAATTAGGCAGACTTGTATAAGATTTGGTCATAGATTATTTCAAAATAATTCCAGGTAAATATCCAGGTAAAATAGAAAAACACAGAAATGTCAAGGGACTCTTGGCCTGGGGGGGCACTGGCTTTTATGAGCCATAGGGCTGGGGATTCATCTCAGTTAAGTGGCTGCCTGACACACTTAAGGACTCCAGTCTGAGGTTCAGTTCTCAGAACCCATGTAATAAACCCTGGCAGGTGACAGACGCTTGTCAACTCAGTTTTGAGGAGGCAGAGACAAGTGAGTCCCTGATGTTGCTGGTCCCTACTTGGAAAGTCCCAGGCCAGTGAGAGACTCTGTTTCTTAAAAAACAAAAAACTTAAGAAAAAAAATAGTACAGTCTGCTCTTAGTTCCACCCACATCTATATTAACACACTCTTCCGTGCACACAATACACACACATGCAGGCACACATTTGAAGAACCACAACACATGTGAGTTGTTCTAGAAGAGACAATGACAGCATACATTTAAGAGGGGTTTGAAATGTGCAGGAATGCTGATCTGGTATGTATTGCTGATGTACACCAATAAAGATATCCCTGAAGCCATGGGCAGTCAGAAAGATGTCATGAGGTAACTGAGTGTTTTGAGTGGTAGGCAGAAGCATTTGAAAGATCAGAGAAGACCTAAACAGAGGAAGGGCAATGGTGAGATCAATACCAGAGCAGTTGCAGAACCTCAGAATCCCTGTCCATCCCCACCTCCAACATCTCTGTCGAATCCCTTGCTACCTTTATGAACTGTGAATGCCTAGCCCAAGAATGACCAGAACCTGAGTGAGGACCCTCCTTTTTCTCTTAGAAGTCTGACCCATGCTGCTGTCAAGATGAAGGATGGAGAGATGGGCATGATGGCATATTATTCGATGCTAGCACTCAAGAGGCCCGTGGATTTCTGTGAGTTAGAGGCCAGCCTGGTCTACATAGCAAGTTTCAGGCCAGCCAGAGCTACTTAGTGAGATCCTTCCTCAAAGCAAGCAAACAAAAAGATTAAAGATGGAGCTAGGGACTTCCAGATGGGTGACTCAACATTCACAGGACCTTCTTCCAGTCATGTTGCTACAACAGTTGTCCAGATGCCTGGTTTTGTCACTAGCCTGTCTGGTGTTGTAAAATATGAGCATTCAGCCCTCCACCCCCACCCCAGGCCCAGTAAAAACTCCTCATCCCCTTTCTCCATCTCTCAGGAGTCCACATCCATTCCAGTGCCTCAGATTTTAGTGACTGGTTAACAACACAAGTTTGAGCCTGAAGAGACAGTTCCAAAAGGCCATCATCTGCCTTACAAAGAACCAAACCAAGTTGTTGTGGGTGGAGCATTCAAGAGATAACCCTGGAACAGCAGATTTGGGGACACTGCCCAGTCCGTGTGCTAGAGTTGTTGCTACAATGACCACAAGTCATAAAGAACTTCATAGCTTGTGTTTTCCCTGAAAGGTATGAGGTTCAATATCCACAGAAAGACTATCAAGAAGGTTTGCTCATGATTCAGAATTTCACATGAAAAGATGTCATAAATGTGACCCTAATAGCATCTAAACCTAGCCAAATAGCCAAATAATCCCATCTCTTTTAACCTGTGGGTTGGAAATCCTCTTTCCACTGTTTCACACTAACAATAAACTGAGAAGTAAATTAAAAACAAAACCGTGAATTGTAAACACTGAAGAATTTGGGAGGTTATCTGTGAAGTTCAAAAAAAAAATGGTGAATTTAGCTGAACATCTAATGCAATATAACTTTAAATTACAGGCTCTACTGTAGCACAGACTGGCTTTCAACTCATGTTACTCCTGCCTCTACACCCCAAGTGCCCAAGTGCTGGGACTGTAGACACAAGCTACCACCATCAGCTAGTATTTAGATTTTAATAATAACTACAGAACAAAATTGGGCAGTATCTATGTATATATTCCTAAGTGAGAGCATCACTGTAGTTTTCCATACATACCTTGCTATGGAAAGATATAGTTGTGTTTCAATCCTATTAAAGGTCACAAGAAATAAGAAGATTGTAACTGTGACCAAAAAGCAGAGCCAGTTATCTGGATGCAGGGATGCATGGGTCCACCAAGATCAGTGGCCAGACAAGCTACATTGTATCCAATGGTGAGAAAAGAATGTTAGCAGCAACAGAAAAGGCAACGAGTGTGGTCCATTCCTTTGCCACCATCCACTGTGTGAACAAGTCTCTTATCAATGGTGGTTCTCAAGGAATTGAAGAGCCTGCCACTTCAAGCCATCATTGGGAATTGCATGCTGCTATTTTAAGCCTAAAGGCATAAAGCTGTGTTCTGGGAGGTGACTCAAGATTCTCCTTCAAAATCAGAAATGTACTATATGATCTATTCACCATCTCAGGTCTTATTGCTACCATTATATGAGAAAAGTAATAAATCAATAAATACGTAATAAAATCAGGAAGCCCAAATCCCTTACAGGTTACTCTCATCTTATGTGTATGCCCATAATCACATTTGCTGTCCCTGTCCCCTGACAAGGCTTGCAAGCATAGCTCGCTAGTTGGTATTTGAGCACCAAAGCTAGGTTCCTGGAATTTACCTCCTGGCTTCTGCATCCATAAGTGACAAGAGATAGCTAATCAGACCTTTGTATTTCAACCCTTCACCATCATGAAGATGCAGATAACGACCTGGACAGAACAAGATCACATGCCTTTCATGAGACACTCCTTCTAGGCTCAGGCCCTGGCTATCACAAATGGTAATAAAACAGAGCCATTCTGGTTTTTGCCCATGGGGTGGAGAGGAAGGAAGGTACTGGAAAGCACTTTCTATGCTGATCTTGGCCTTGGCCCATTCTGATCTGTCATACCATGGTTAAATGAAGGAGGGGGAAGAGCAGAGAGTAGGAACAAACTGAGAGGGAAGACTAAATAAAAGGAAAACACAGCCTCTGTCTGTTCATGTGTGTGATGGCCCAGGTCAGGTTTGTTTTGTTTCTTAACTACTCAAAAAGTTACCCTCCTTGTTCTCTTCTCCCTGCTCCTCTGGACTCACACTCTCCACACTCTCTTGCCTGGACACCCCATTGCTGCGATGCTGGGAAGGTTCCTTTGCTCAGCCACAGCCTGGCCACAAAGCCTTCATAGGAATGGCCCAAGGGTGTGGTGGCATCATAGGCACAGACTGATGGCAAGCTGTGGACTTGGCCAGCAATTTTCCATGTTCTCTAGCAACTACTGAGCCCATCCCTACCCAAAATTCAATTAATTCTCTCCAGCCTACAGGGAAGCTCTCCAGCTAGTGGCCACAGGAACTAGCAACATGAGGGAGATGGCCACTGGGTGTCCCATCTTACAGGAGAAGAACCTGATGGGGAGGCGGACAGGCGGGAGATGCGAGGGATGGAGAAGAAACTTGTTTATTCTGTAGAACACACACATAATCACACACACACACACACACACCTTCAAGACTAGAGAACACAACCTGCCCTTAGTGTTCTGTCTCACTGCCTATTTTGCAGTTTCTGCCTGTGTCCCTTTGCACAGGAAACAAGAAAAAACTCAGCTTCTACTGCCCCCAGCAAAAGAGATGTTAAAGCCACAACCTCTATTGGGATAGCCTAGCACACCTTGTTAGGGACTAGCCTTCAGGCCTGTGTTGACAGAACACTTACATTCAGAGTCCTCATTCTTGAAAAAGCCAAGGAGCTTGATCTGGTCCTCAATGCGCTCGAAGGCCTGCACTTCCAGCTTGTTATTCACGATCTCCACTGGGTCTTCAATGAGCTGAAATCACACACACACACAGAGGCACAAACATGGACACAGACACACAGACATAAAGATGTTCAAATAAGGGAGACCATCTCTCCCCAGTGGAAGATAGAACACTCTGGAGGTAAGGGACACATGTATACAAACAATGCAAAATAGGTAGTGAGATGGAAAGAACATTAAGGTCAGGCCATTTCTCTAGCCTTGAAGGTGTGTGTGCGTGTGTGTACGTGTGTATACAAAGGCCAAGGTCTCACATCCCATCCTGCTCCAGTGCACATGGCATCATTTCCCCAGGAAGACTTGGTCTTAACTTGGGCATGGTTGTCCTGGGGGGCAATTCTATTCCTCTTTTCAGTTATTTTTTTTTTAAAAACTGTATCTTAAGTTATAAATTGACAATTATAACTATAATATATATGTATATATAGAGAAGAAATGTAGTGAGAAATTTACCTTGTCTGACCACGCCCATTGGGGTTGGGGACCGGGGCAGATGTTACCTGAGGGAACTAGGTCTGAGGAGGGGGCCCTGGGAGCTCTCTTGCTTGCAGCTCGGGGACAGGAGAGTATCCGGAGGTATCCTTTGGATCAGGAACCTGCTGGTGTTCATCTGTCTATGTTGTAAGTTATTTCTCCCTGAACAAACATCTCTTCAGCCTATTTATTTCTCCTGATCCTTATTAAATCTCATTAGAATGTGTGTGTATGTAAGAGAGAAAATGTGAAAGAGAGAGAGAGACTGTATAGTGTGCACATGTGAATGTGTGAGATCTGTATGCTCAAACATAGAGATCGGCGTCACCTACATCTTTCTCTTGCTTAGAGACAGGATATCTCACTGAACTGGGAACTCACTTTTCTGGCGAGGCTGGCTGGACACCCATCTCTCTGGACTACCTGTCTCTTTCTACAGGGTTTGCAGGCACAAGAAGATATGCCAGGTGTTTTACATGGGCGCTGGGGATGAAAACACAGGCCTTCAGATCATTGTTCTTGTACAGAGAGCACTTCAGCCCACTGAGCCATCTCCCCAGCCCTTAAGTGTTTGTATGCCTCGAACGAAAGTGCTAGGAGATATGAATAAACAGTGAAATAACTAGCTAATTAACATCCATCACCTCGAACACTTATCATTTGTGTGATGGGAACATTTGTGTGCCCCTTAGCAATTCTGAAATGTATGCTTTTATTTGCTCTGCTGACCACACTGTGCACTGTCTCAAAGGAAGGAAACCCTACTTAGTTTTCTTGCCCACTGAGATTCTACCCCATAGATCACAAGCTCCTCGTGTTCGACCCCATTCCTGACTCTTGTAACTGGCGTTATACAGACTCTCTGCTTCTGTTCCTTTTCAAAAGACACTCAATTATCTTACATTGTACATGTCCGTAAAAACATGCGCTGTCTTTTGAATATGAAGTGTCTCTCCCAAGCCTTAAGCGTGGAAGGCTTGGCCCACACCTTGAGGTTTCACTCACTGAGATGTGATTAGATCAGGACGTCTCTGACCCCACTGATGGGTGAGTGAATCCACTCACAGCATTAAAATCTTGGATTCTGATAAGAATTAGGAGGGGAGAAAGTAGATCATGGAGGATATGCCTTTGTAGGCATAATCTGAGCCTCAGAGCCTTCCTCTTTCTCTCTCTCTCCTTTCTGGCCAGCAAGAAGTGCACTATCTGCCCTTCTCATGAGTGCCCAAACTCATGAGTGTGATGCTCTCCAATTTCACCCCTTTTGTTTTGGAAACATGTCTATTTTTTCTCTTTCACCAGTTTGACTTGTGTTAATTCTATAAGATCTCCTGACACTTGAGTCGAGAATGGAAAAGCGGGCTGGGTTCTGGCTTTGTGAGGACTAGTTTGCTAGCAGTCTTGAGAAAATGATTCTTTCCTTCCTTCCTTTCTTCCTTCCTTCCTTCCTTCCTTCCTTCCTTCCTTCCTTCCTTCCTTCCTTCCTTTGTTTTTCAAGACAGGGTTCTCTGCATTGTTTTGGAACCTGTCCTGGAACTAGCTCTGTAAATCAGGCTGGCCTCAAACTCACAGAGATTCACCTGCCTCTGCCTCCCGAGTGCTGGGACTAAAGGTGTGTGCTACCAATGCCTGGCAATTCTTTCTTTTTAAGAAAATGATGGGGGAAGGTTTTCTTCTCTCCCTGGATATGAATAAGGATGTGTGATAAATGGAGTTCTGATATGGCCCATCTCATCATTAACCTCATAACCCCCACCTTGAAGACGAAGGCCATGTGCTGGCTAGTTATATGTCAACTTGAGCAAGCTATGACCATCTGAGAGGAGGGAACCTCAAATGAGAAAATGTCTCTGTAAGATCAGTTGTGGGCAAGCCTGCAGGGTATTTTCTTAATTCATGATCCATGTGGGAAGGACTAGCCTATTGTGGGTAGTACTACACAGGCTGTGGACCTGAGTGCTATCAGAAAGCAGGCTGAGCAAGCCAGGATCAAGCCGGTTAGCAGCATCCCTCCATGGCCTCTGCATCAGCTCCTGCTTCCGGATTCCTGCTCCCCTTGGTTCCTCCTTTGGCTTCCCTCAGTGGACTATGCAGGATATGTAAGCCAAATCAACCCTTTCCTCCCCAGATTGCTTTTGGTCATTGTGTTTCACCATCTAAGACAGACCACATACTGAGGACAGAATTATCTAGGGCTTACAGAGATAAAGCCCCAAGTTGGTAAATCTAAACACTGATTCTGGTTGGCTGCTTTTTGGGGCCAATCACACCATCCAGACTTACAATGTTGCTTTTCTTGAAATTCCCTAGGACTTCTACCTTAATGAGATAGCCCAGCAGAGACTTAGACACTATATTTGGCAGCCTCTTTCTGCCCTTCTCTGGCTTCTGAGAGTGTAGAGAAAAAGCAATAGACTGCTGGGTGTCTGCTGGAAAATTGCTAGGGTGGACGATCAGTTTAGAGTTCTTTGCATTATTATTGCTGTTTGTTCTAAGGACAGAGTTGCCCCACAGAACTCAGGCTAGCTCCACAGAGTCCAGGCTGTCTTCTCATGCACAGTTCTCCTGGCTCAGCCTCTCCAGCGCCAGGATTACAGGTGGATCACCACTCACAACAGAAATGGGTTCTTAACCCGTGCAGAGCATAGGTTCCAAAGCTGATAGCCTCGTAGCTACGACTGGCAGTGTAACTTTTATGCATGGCCAACATACTCTGTTGTGTTTTCCTCTCTGTTGGAACTAATGGATTTGAGGATGTGATACTTCCATGGCTGAAAGTAAATGTGGTTGTTTTTATTTTTTGTTGTTGTTGTTGGTGGTGGTGGTAGTTTGTGTGTGTGTGTGTGTGTGTGTGTGTGTGCATGAGAGAGAGGAGAGAGAGAAGAGAGTTTGAGAGGTGTGTTCCTTAGCTCTATCTTTCCTTTAAAACACTTTTTTTTTCCATTTACTTATTTTGTGTGGGGCGGTGTGTGTGGGGTTGTGTGTGTGGGGCGGTGTGTAGGGGGTGTTAGAAGACATCTTGTGAAAGCTTGTTCTCTCCTTTTACTCTGTGGGTCTGGGGGATTGAATTCAGGTCACCAGGCACGGCAGTAAGTGCCTTTACCTTCTGAACCACCTCACCAACTTACCGCCTCTCCTTTATACAGCTCAGAAGACTTAGGGAGGCTAGGCCTGTGGTTCCCACTTCCATCTCAGATGACTGGTCCATGCCCCTCTCCCCCCACTTTCTATTGCTGCCCCCCCAGTGTCACTGTAGCAAAGCCAATAAAATGCCAGTGAGCATCAGCTTGTAACTGGGAAGAGAATAGCACTTCATGTCTAACACACACACACACACACACACACACACACACACACACACACACACAGAGAGAGAGAGAGAGAGAGAGAGAGAGAGAGAGAGAGAGAGAGAGAGAGAGACTACCCTTGGGTGACTTAAGGGCCAATGCAGGAATGCAGGCATCCCTTGCTGTTTTGTGAAACCTAAGAAAGGCCTTATGCCATGCCAGGATCTTCAGCTCCATTGTTCTTGCATCAAGGGTGTACCTCTCCTCTTTGGGACAGCTGCACACAAGGCCACCTGCTACTACTTACATCCAAGAGAAACTCTACCAAGACATCTGCTGCAAACTCCCCATCGAACTCAATCGTGCGGTCACCCTTCAGAACATACAGGCTTCCTTCTTCATTGAAACCTGGAAGGAACAGAGGCCCAAGGCCAAGGTCATTCGGGTGCAGAAAAACCTTCGAGGTCCTGAGCAGCAGTGGGTCAGGGTGAGTAGAACAAACATTTACACGGACAGATGGGCCCGTCAGGGTCAGCCTTGAATTCGAAAGCTCTCTTTGTCCCACCCCTGCTTTAGTTCCCACGAATACTGTTGAACCCCACCATTCTTAGCAGAACTTTTATAGCCACTGCTTCCTGTCACCTTAGTGTGGCTTAAAGTCCTCAATCACCTAATGCCAGTCTTACCTCTCCAACCACCATGGTCAGACCTGAGGTCCTCATCCCGCACATCCCCCACGCTTCTCTTGTTACTTCTGCATTGTGTGCTGTTATGAAAGTGTGTGTCCAGTACGAGACAGAGCAGGGCTTTACTTCTCTTTCCCTCTTCCCTAAATCTAGAATGACCTCCATCCCTGACTCCATCCTGGTTGCTCCTTCAGGTTCTGGCTTAGGGCCCATTTTCCACTAAGGACTCTGCAACCATCTGAGTCCCCCATTGTTCCTGATGTCCCTTCCTCTCTCACTACTTGTAGGGGCTCGCTCTACTAGGACAGTCTCTATTCTCCAGATCCCAGCCTCTTGCACAGAGCCTGGATGTGTGTGTGTACAGACAGTTCTGAGACACAGGCCTCTTCACTGGGGCCCCTGGTTGATGCTGGGAGGGAGGATAGCGGATAACAGCTTCACCTTTGCCCCACCCTTGGTACAGCGAGGTATACTTTTATTTATTTATTTATTTATTTATTTATTTATTTATTTATTTATTTTCTGAGGCAGGGTTTCTCTGTATTGCTTTGGAACCTGTCCTGGAACTAGATCTGCAGACCAGGCTGGGATTAAGTGCCCAGCTCAGTGAGATGTACTTTAACAAATCCTTGCTGGGACACTGTATCCTTTCCCCCAGAATATTAAACAGCCAAGACTGACATTGCCACTCCACAATATCTTTAATTGTTCAGATTAGTTGTTTTCAACTCCTTTATCCAGGAAATGCTTTCTCCTAATGTGCCTGGGATGATGCGCCTGCATGTGCCTGGGATGAAGAACCTGAGTGTCCCTGGGATGATGCACCTGTGTGTGCCTGGGATGATGCACCTGTGTGTGCCTGGGATGATGCACCTGTGTGTGCCTGGGATGATGCACCTGTGTGTGCCTGGGATGATGCACCTGTGTGTGCCTGGGATGATGCACCTGTGTGTGCCTGGGATGATGCACCTGTGTGTCCCCGGGTTGATGCATCTGTGTGTCCCTGGGATGATGCACCTGTGTGTGCCTGGGATGATGCATCTGTTTGTCCCTGGGATGATGCACCTGTGTGTGCCTGGGATGATGCATCTGTTTGTCCCTGGGATGATGCACCTGTGTGTGCCTGGGATGATGCACCTGTGTATCCCTGGGATGATGCATCTGTGTGTGCCTGGGATGATGCACCTGTGTGTCTCTGGGATGAAGAACCTGAGTGTCCCTGGGATGATGCACCTGTGTGTGCCTGGGATGATGCATCTGTGTGTGCCTGGGATGATGCACCTGTGTGTCCCCGGGTTGATGCATCTGTGTGTCCCTGGGATGATGCACCTGTGTGTGCCTGGGATGATGCATCTGTTTGTCCCTGGGATGATGCACCTGTGTGTGCTTGGGATGATGCATCTGTGTGTGCCTGGGATGATGCACCTGCATGTCCCTGGGATGATGCACCACCTGTATGTGCCTGGGATGATGTACCTGCATGTGCCTGGCACAATGCACCCGCATGTACCCGAAGATGTCCATTGAACCACCACTAAGCTTTTTTTCTTCTTCTGTGCTTACTACTCCAAACACAATTAACCTTTCTTCAAAGGTCCTGTTTCATAACCTCCTGCTATTTTTAATAGCCATTCTCTACTGGTCATGCAGAAAAAGCTAAAAGGACAGTGTTGGGGGTGGTATTTGAAAACCAGAGGGGTTCCCTGTGCCCTTTCTCCTTGGGATTATGGAGTAGGAATCTTAAAGGGCACTTGATCATGACATATTGACATGAGAGATTACAGCCTCCACCCATTGTCACTTAACTATTCCTCACCTAAATCCCCATCCAGGCTGAAATTTTCCAGCTGGGTTTCAGTCTTAACTTTGGGACTTCCAGAGACCTTGCTGTAAATGAATCATGTGCAGGCTGCTGCTGGAATGTTCCCAGAGTGGCCCAGAGAAGCCACTGAGGCACAAAGATGCAGAAGCTAGGCTTCTAGATGTCAGGGGAGCTGTCGGTTTCTCTCTGCCTGATACTGGTACAAAGAAAAACTTAAATGATTGCTGCCAAACTGATAGATTGAGGCTTAGGTTTACTTTTATCAGGCTCTTCTCTGACCCAGAATGATGTATATACTCATTATATGTGTTTGAAAATAATCCAGTTACCATGCAAGATAAATATAACTGCTTTTTTCCCCCAAGACACGTTTGTTTCTTCCTAACAAATTTGAAATATCAAACTTACCCAGTCTTTTGGCAAGCTTGGCTTCTTTCTTGGAATCTACCATCACAAAGCCTATGTTTTTATGTTCCAGTACCTGGGCCACGAGCTGAAGAGACAAATAGGTAGAGGAAGTGAGTAAAGTGAAGAATATCAGGGCCAGCATAGTTCGTACGTCCTGCTACTCTGACCTCTGATTAGTCACTAGAATGCTGAGAACCTGAGGAATAGGCTAAAAGGAAAGATACACCCAGGGGCCCAACCCCCTTTCTGCCTTTGTGAATACAAAATTGAGGCTCAAAGAATCCAAAGGGAACCGAGGGTGGTTAAACACGAAGTGGGCACCTGGCATGGGGCCTTTAGTCCTTCTGAAGTTGTCAAATAAGCCTGTGAGGGACACACCTTTCAGTAAAGAAGTCCTAAGGGCAGGAGGCCTCCTGCCCCTTCCCCAGGGCTGGGGCAATGCAGGTGCCCTTTGGCATCTGTGGGTTTCCTACAGCCCATAGTGAAGAAGAACTATAGGAAGTGCCTGAGGATGGAGGTACCATTGACCCTAAACTCCAGGAGGATGCATCAGTGCCTTGGACAGGAAGGTGGCTAAAAACCACTGTAGCAGACAGCAGCATAGGAGATGAGTCCATGTGTAAGACTGGTGTCCAACTAAGCTTCCTGAAACTATCAAAAAAAATGACAGAGCATTGTCTCTGTCATCTTGACATCTCACGAAAAAGGGGCTTGACAGAAATGGGGAGGCCATGAAATACAAAATATCTGGCTGGGGATTGAATCTGGGACCTTACAAATGCTGGACTCACTGAGACATTGTGCTACACTTTGAACCCTAATACTACTTTAAACACATATATTCATATGCAGTTGTTAAGAAATACAAAAGTGAGATCTCTTAAACATGTTCTTGGATTCCTACAGAAGCGAGGTCTTGTGAAACTGGGGCACAATATCATGAGCTGGATAGTGCCAACAATAGTTAAAACACTGACCATGTCCATCACCACAGAGGGCTCTCTGTTGTCCTTTATAGTCATAGCAACTGTGTGCCGTCCCATCCCCACTTCAGCCCTTGGAATCATGTAGCAGGTAACTTTTTCAGACAACCCTTTCACTTTGTATAATTACCCAGGGTCTGTCAGGTTGCTACATGTACCACCAGGTGTGTTCTTTTCCACTGTTGAGTAGAGTTCCATGGTGTGGATAGACCACAGTTTCCTTTGTCATTCACCTACTGTAGGGCATATGAGTTGTTTCCAGCTGTTGCTTATTATGAGCAAAAGTCCTGTGTGTGATTTTGCTTTAAATATTAGTCTTTATCCCTGAGAGAGGATGACTAGGAGAATAATTCTGAGTCATGGGGGAGTTTCAGATTTAGTTTTTGCTGAAACCACCAAACTGTTTTCCAGAATGACTGAACTGTTTTACATCCTTGTGAATAGTGTATGAGTTCGTCTACAACCTTGGGGGGCCTCTGATGTTATCATTATTTTAATTTTTAGTCATTCTCATAGGTATGTAGCAATGTTCCCTTAGGGTTTTCATTTGGACTTTGTGATAGTTTATTTGAACAGTATTCCATGTTTCCTTCTGTGAAATGTCTCTTCATGTGTTTTCCCATTTTTATGGTGATATAGTGAACATTAGTTTCTTCCTTCCTTCCTCCCTTCCTTCCTCCTTCCCTTCCTCCCTCCCTCCCTCCCTCCCTCCCTCCCTCCCTCCTTCCCTCCCTCCCTTCCTTCCTTCTTTCCTTTTTGGATCCACAGCATCCACATACTAAGTTGGGCATAGTAATGTGTGCCTGCAACCCCAGCTCTGGGGATAGAGACAGTTGGATCCCTGAGGCTTCCTGGCCAGTTAGCCTGTGAATCCATGAACCCCAGATTCAGCAAGAGACCTTGTCTCAAAAAATCAAGCAGGGAAGCTAACCCAACACACATGTGAAAACATGCACAATACCCCAACACACAAATGGAAATTTTAATTTCAGTGAAGTCTAATTCATCAGTTTCTTTATCTATGAATCTTTATTATGAATAGGACTTTGTTGTTATTGTTGTTTAGACAGGGTCTTACTATATAGTTCTGACTGATCTCAGTGTGTCGATCAGGCCGTCCTTGAGCTCACAGAGATCCACCTGCCTCTGTCTCTGAGTGCTAGGATTAAAGGCAAGTGCTACGATGCTTGGCTCTGAGTGGGATTTTAATGTTAAGTTCAACTGCTAAATTCTGAACAGTTCTATCATTTATCTGAAAGTTTTACAGATTAATATTTTGTTCTATAGGGCACAGACTATTTTGACAAAATTCTGTGGAAACTGTGACACACTCTGGCATTTTTCCTTTTGGGCTGGTTGACCCCAGCAACACTTATAGATGACCTTCTGTAACCTGAACTTTGCCCATACCTTTAAGACTCAGTTGACACATCTGTGGGGTCTAGCTCTGCTGTCTCCATTCTGTCCCACTGATCTATGTGTGCCCCTCTGTCCATACCACACAGCCTGGACTGTAGCCTCTGTGTAGTGAATCCCTCAAACAGAGGCAAGTGTTGTGTTTTTTCTCAATTCTCTTTGTGAGTTATTTTAACTAATTATTTTTCTCTTGCATACAAGTTTTGGAATAATCTTTTTATACACAAAAAAGAATCCTACCAGGGTTGGACAATGATACTATTATTATATGATGGGAGATGTTATTCTGTAAATATGTTTTTCATACTGGTTAATGAATAAAACACTGTTGGCCAATAGGAAAGGAAGATAGGGACTAGGAGACAAGGAGGAAAGAGGAAGTAGGAAGGAGGAGTCAAGATGGAGAGACTAGAGAGAACAGAACCGCCAGCCCCCTCTCCGGTAAGATAAGACCATGTGGAAATACATAGAAATGGGTTAATACTTAAGACAGAGCTAGCCAATAAGAAACAAGTAACTGGCATTATAGCAAATACAGCATCTCTGTGCATTATTTGGGGCTGGCACAGCAGCGGGACAAGACCAGTGGTGGGTGGAAAAAACCTTACTCCATACAATTATAGTGTAGTGTATGTGTGTGAGTGAGAGTTAATTATATTAACTCTTCTATTAAGTTGGGGAGAGTGATGTAGTTAGAATGTTAAGCTTGTCAATGAGAGAAGATGCTGTGTCTCTCCATCTATTTCCTGATGAAAAGGTCAGCTCTGAGCACATAAGCCTTTTGCTTTTTTCTTTTTTGAAGTAGGGTTCCATGTAGCCCAGGCTAGCCTTGAACATCTTATCCCCCTGTCTCTACCACCCAAGTGCTGGGGTTACTGACATGTACCACCACACAGCTTAGCATGAGGTCTAGTACAAGTTTTGTTAAATTTACAACTAAATATTTGGATTATTTCGCACTACAGTGGTGTGTTTTCAAGCTTTGCATCTGTGTTCTTGCTAGTACAGAATGTACAATTGTATTTTTATGTTTTTTTCTTGTAGCTTGGCACCTCGAACTCATTTATTATTTCTAAGAATTTTTTTCTTTCTTTGGAATTCTTGGGAATTTTCTGTGTGGATGATCATGCCACCTGTGAAAACGTTATCCCTTTCCCATTTGTCTGACTTTTCATTTCCTTGTGTCTCCTCATTCTGCTGAGGAGAACTCTAGTCCTGTACTGAAGACAGTATCTTGCTTTCTTACGTGGTGTTTTTGTTTCATTTTGTTTGTTTGCATCTCAGTCTTCTGGATGCATCTGTCCTTTCAATCTGCTACGTAATTTATAGGTTGCTCCTGTGTATTCTACTATCTTTTGGGGATTTCTTGTCTCCCCCAGTAACTTGGGGACTATTTGGCTCTGAGGTTAGTGCTCTTAGTCTGGCTATGTTTCATTCTACCCTCCATTCCTCTGTCTACCCTGATTGTATTCCCAATGTCTTCTTGCTTCCATTGCCTTTCTAGTTAGACTTACTAGGTCATTCCTGGCCTAGTCAGCTTCCTTCTCATCTGTTCTTAGTCTATCTCTTTTTCTCTGGCCCAGAACCAGCTCCCTTCCTATACAACTAAAGGCACCTGGACAGAATGTCCATCTGATCACTGCTCCTTGAATGCCCCAGTGTCTGCAGTGGAGGAAGGACCACTGCCACCCTGCCCACCCCAGAGGTTTTCTCTTTTCTTGGATGTCTGGGCCTGGGCAGGCTGAGAATGTGTCATCACCACTAATAGCAATGCTATGACTCACCCTAAGATTTCATGAGGTCCCCCATGCCAGTCTTTCTGCAAAATTGCTTGGGTGTAGGCTATTGCATGTAATCCATCAGACCATGTAGTGTATTCTTTTCCTAACACATCTTTTTTTTTTTCATTGCAAGCCACCCTGTCCTATTTATAGAAGTCAAAATCTTAGGTGAATGTTCCCTTGTCAATCATCCAAAGTCACAACACCCAGCTTTATAGTACAGTAAATTCTCCCCTCTTCTGCAGCATGAGCTGCAGTCCTTAAACTCCAGTATGCACAAGAATGACCTGGGGCTCTGTTTAAATGGGGCTTCTTGGTCCTCTTCGACTGAAAAGAGAAAATAGAGCTGGGTGGGGCTCAGGAATCCACATTCTCATACACCCACTGCACAGCCACACCCTGTGGTTCTTCTGATGCTTCAGCTCTCAAGTCAGTCACTGTCTGGATAGCACAACTATTAATGGCTGTCGCTTCTTCTGAAAGCTACACTGCAATGTTCCAGCTGTGGATTCAAGTTGCCTTTTTTGATCTCTCTCCATTTAGTGTAAGAGGTGAGCATTAATAATGATAATAAAGGGAAGCCATAGAAACGGTTCACAGACCACTGAGGCCCTTGTCACAAAAGTCTCACATCTTGCATTCTATTCCTGGAACCCATGTAAAGGTGTAAGAAGAGAACTGGCTACACAAGGTTGTCCTCTGACCGCCATCGGCATGCCACGTCATGTCACGTTCACTGTGACAAGCACATACCACATTCCCACATCTCCCCCCCCTCCAGTGCCCATGCACGTGTGCGCACACAGACACACACACACACACACACACACACACACACAGAGAGAGAGAGAGAGAGAGAGAGAGATCAGAAAAGAATGAAAAATTAACTTGGAGAATTAAACAAG